TTTCTGTTGTATGTGAACTGAGCTCATCTGGATTTTCTCTACGTCTAGGAAAATGTTAATATGGAAGCATGATACAGTAAAATCCTCCTCAAAGCAGAAATTTAGGTTTGAAATTATCATTTTTAAAAGTTCTCCACTGGGCAACTTATTGTTTGCCAAAATCAATCTAGAAATAGATAATTACTTCCATTAACTATATCAACACAAAAGAGCAAATGTTTAAGTTGTATAAACTGGTCTATATTTCAAATCCAATCTTTAGAACAATCCAAAAATATATTGAAGAAGTAAGTATTAAGTAAGTATTAGAAACAAAGTATTGTTTCTATGATTGTTGTTATTAGATTTGTTCTAGCCGACCCAGTCCCAAAGTATGATGATGAATTAGACAAAAGGCACATTGAGTCCAGCATCAAGTTTTCCATATCGGCCATGTAGTTACTAGGGGTGTATCAGAAGCAAGGTCATTGGGGAAAACCACATCTTTCACTTCTACTTCCCAACACTGGAAATCAAATTTTGCTGCCTCTATCATGGAAATAGTGTTTCAAGCTTGTATGTCTAGAAATCAATATACATTTATGCATTATGAGTTTATAAAATTGCATTTCCAATTTAACCACCCAAATTTGTGGTAACAAATTCAAGGGCTGTACGAAATACTTTAAACGAGTGTTTCACAAGCACTCCGTGTTTCTGTGCAAAATGCACCTTTTCAAAGCATTAAATAGCTATGTTCTCTCATACACTCTTCATAACTTTTTTGAAGACTTTGCCAGGTTGTTTTCATGCATTGATTAACCTCCACAGAAACTGTCAACAAAACTGCTAGTCAAGCCTTCTGGTGGACATGGTTGGTTTTCTTTAAGGGGGTTGAGCTAATGCACTTTATCTTTTGCTAACACCTCTCAAATACCATATTTTTTTAATGGAATGAATTAGCTGTGAAGCATCTTTTTGCCTGCCTTGACTGTCTTGCCACTCAACTTAATGCAATGGTTCAAGATTCTAGACTGAAAAGGGAAGAAAAAAGATGTTTTTTTTTACTAGTGATACAAGTAAATCGATGTCTTGGAGACTGTCTCTGCCAAGGAAACAAGGTCTTGGCCATACTTATAGAGACTCAAGGACATTAGATTCCAAACTACTAGGGAAATTAACCATGCTGCATTGCATATAAACTTTATTTATTTATTTATTTATTTATTTGATTTGCCAATTGTTTACAAGATAATAAGTATAAATGTATACATAGTTGTGAATACATGAAATGGGTACATATAAGAAAAATAAAAGAATAAGAGAAACAATAGGACAGGGACGGTAGGCACGTTGGTGCGCTTATGCACGCCCCCTACAGACCTCTTAGGAAAGGGGTGAGGTCAATAGTAGACAGTCTAAGGTTAAAGTTTTTGGGGTTTGGGGAAGAAACTACAGTCGGGTAGAGTATTCCAGACATTGACCACTCTATTGCTGAAGTCGTATTTCCCGCAATCAAGTTTGGTGCGGTTTACTTTGAGTTTGTATCTATTGTGTGCTCTTGTGTTGTTATGGTTGAAGCTGAAGTATTCATTGACAGGTAGGACATTGCAATGTATGATTTTATATACCATGCTTAAGTCAGACCGAAGACGGCGTAATTCAAGGTTTTCTAGTTCTAGAATTTCAAGTCTGGTGGCATAAGGTATTCTACAACGAGTAGAGGAGTGGAGAACTCTTCTTGTGAAATATTTCTGGACTTTCTCAATTGTGCTAATATCAGATACGTAATGTGGGTTCCAGACTGATGAACTGTATTCGAGTATTGGTCTAGCAAATGTTTTGTATGCTCTGGTTAGTAGTGTGATATTACCAGAGAAAAAGCTACGTAGGATTAGGTTAATAACTCTTAATGCCTTTTTGGCTATGTAGTTGCAGTGGGCTCTAGCACTTAGATCATTAGAGGTGAGTATTCCAAGGTCCTTTACAGAGCTTGGGTCATCAACAAGATCTTGACTATTCAGCTTGTATTTTATTTTCTGATTTTTTTTGCCAATATGTAAGACAGAGCATTTATTTGTTGAGATTTGAAGTTGCCATTTGTTTGACCACTCTGATACATAGTCAAGATCTTTTTGTAGGGTAGCAGTATTGTCTGTGGTATTGAACAGCTTTACATCATCAGCGAAGAGAACGCAATTGCTCTTAATATGATCACAGAGGTCGTTTATGTAGAGTATGAAGAGAGTTGGTCCTAGAACACTGCCTTGGGGAACACCACTATTGACAGGTACTGGATTTGATAGTACGCTCCCGATTTTGACCATTTGTTGTCTGTTTGACAGGAATGCTTCTATCCAGTTATTCAGTTGTCCAGAGATACCATAGGATTTTATTTTTAGGAGTAGTTTGTCGTGTACCACTGAATCAAAGGCTTTACAGAAGTCTATGTAGATTGCGTCTATTGCTTTGCCCTGGTCGAGTTGTGTCGTCCATATGTTTTTGCAGTGTAAGAGTTGCAGATTACAGGATAGTTTTTTTCTGAAACCAAATTGTTTATTGGAGAGTAGGTTATTTGTCTCTAAGTGAAGGATGATGGATTGGTTAATAATTGATTCCATGACTTTACAGGTGACGCAGCATAAGGAGATTGGCCTGTAATTTTCAACTAGGCTTGGGTCTCCCTTTTTGAAGATGGGGATGACTGTGGCTTGTGACCATAGGTTAGGCAAGGAGCTGGTCCTGAAAGATTTTTCAAAGATTATGCTTAGAGGTTTGGCTATGGCAGTGGATAGCTTTCTTAAGAAGTAGGCACATATTCCATCCGGTCCAATAGATAGAGATGGTTTTAGGTTGCGTAGTGCTTTTTCAACATTGTCTTCTGTGAAATCGATATGTATTAGATCATTGTTGTTATCTATGGTACGGCTAGGAAATACTGGGCATGATCCATTGCTGTTTACAAATACTGAGCCGAAGAATGTGTTAAAGATGTTGGCTTTAATGGTGTCGTCGTTGCAGTCTTTACCATCAGGTCCTATCAAGGGAGGGATGGACCTTGAGTCTTTTAGTTTGTTGTTTACAAAATTGTAAAAAGCACGGGTGGAATTGGTGCTTAGAAGGTTTTCCTCTTGTTTAATGTGATAGTTGGTGCATTCGGTCTTTATCTGGTGGCATAAATTTTTGTATCGGTTTTTGAAATTGGCAACGTGACCAGATTTGTTTTTCCGCCAGAGTGATCTCTTTTTGGATTGAAGTTTCCTTATTGATATGGGTAATCTGCTTTTTTGTTTTGTTTTGGGAGTTGTTGTTGGTACATATAGTTTGATGACTCTTTTGACTTCAAGTAAAAATATGTTGTAATGGTCTTCAACAGTATTGCATCCAGTGAATAGAGATTGCCAATCAAGGGATGAGAGATCGTTGTGTATAAGATCATAATTGCCTTTTTTGAAGTTACAATTGGGGATTACATCATTGTGGTGATTTTTGTGTGGACGTATGTTGAGACAAAAGTCAATCATATTGTGGTCACTACTGGAAAAGGGTTCTTTAGTTTGTATTCCGTAAATTAAATTCAAACTATTGCAGAAGATGAGATCGAGGCAGTTGTTTTTTGTACACCTCAGTTATATAAATGACTATCCGGGAAACAATTGTTAAAATGGAGCCTTGTAATCTGTGTTGTATTTTTAAATTGATATGTAAGCTTTTTGTTCTAATTGGCATGAGCTTTTTTCAGTCTGACACTCTACCCACTTCTACTGTAATGCAAATCCTGACTGTGGCTCACATAGCAGGGCTAAGGGCTCAGATTACAACATCAGCTTTTAAGTAGCACAGTGGTGCTCAGATTTGAAAATAAGTTTCTTACACTTTACAAAGAATGAAGGACAATCAGGTAAAAGATTCTAATTAACAAAAAGGATTACTCACAAGTACAGGTAATCCTTGACTTAACCACCGTAAGTGAGCCTAGAATTTCTAATGTAAGTCATGGTGGTCATACTAACCAACCCAATTTTATGACCTTTTTCATAGTGGTCATTAAGCAAATTCTTCAGTCTTAAAGCAAATGCCATGGTTGTTAAATGAATCAATGCATGGGAGTTTCTGGCCAAACAAAAAAATCTGAATTGCATCATGTGACCAGGAAATGCGGCAACTTGGCTATAAAGGCCAGTTGCCAAGTGCCCAAAATATGATTATGTGAGGAGGGGGGTGCCCCTGTCAGATTTCAGAACTGGGTCATACGTACCTTTTGTGGTGAGTAGTCATTAAGTGAGGATTATAGATTACATATTGCTCTGTGAATGCTCCATTCTCTCATAGTCACACAGCCTTTTAATAATTTGAACCTGCTTTTTACAAACCAGCACATGCTACATACATAAAACAAGGATGGAGCTTTGATCGTATAGTCTTCGCCACCAACTTAGCCTTTGATACCAAACTCTGCAGATACCCTTGCAAAGCTGCCTTTACAAACTTGCATCTTCCATATAGATCAGATTATAACTCCCATAAATCCTACTCAACATCCCAAGGCGATGTGATAGGGGAATAAGATAACTTTTAATATATATGGAGGTAGCAGTCTGAGAATGGTTAGTTTAGATAATCTTTGGAATGTTTTACAAGATAGTGTACTATTAATAGTAGCAGGAATCAACAATAAATTGGAAATAATAATGTCATGATCAAGTTGCCAAAAATCATATATTTGAAGCTTTGCCAGAAGTTTAGGTTTGAATGCAGCAAAAAATTACTGGGAATACCAAATTGACAAAAGTTCTTAAAAATGAGCAGGTCAAGATCCTGTGGGACTTTCATACCCAAACAGACAGACATCTGGCCCATAATGTGCCTGACATCACTATTGTGAAAAAGAAAAAAAGCCTGATTCATTGATATTGCAATACCAGGTGATTCACAAATTGAAGAGAAACAGCTGGAAAAAATAACGAAATATCACAATCTGCAAATTGACGTTGAGCGATTGTGGAGGAAAAAAAATCAACGGTTGTACCAATAGTAATAGGAGCCCTTGGAGAAATATCCAAAGGGTTGCCTAGATACATAGAAATTTTGAAGTTATCAGATCTGACTATTCTGACTTTGCAAGAACTTACCTTAGTAGGAACTGCCTATATACTCAGACGTTACCTTAACAGCTCTTAGGTTCTTGGTTAGAACTTGAAGTTTTTAATCTATGACTATACAGTGGCCAGAATGTTACTACCTTCCCAGTGATCTACTCACATTTCCATGCTTTCAAATTGCTAAGTGAGCAGAAGCTGGGGCAAGAAGCTCATCCTGTTGTGTTGCACTCAGGCCTTGAACTGGGCTGTTAGTTTTCCAGCTGACAAGCTCAGCGTATTTAACTGCGGAGCCAGCCATCTTATCTCCTCCTTGTAATCTAGGTTTATTCAAATGGTTTTAAAAAATAGCAAAATTTCCTCCTCCTTCTCTCCTGTTTCATTAGAATTAACAGATGAATTATAATACATTGGTGTCCTTTCAAAAGTCTAGTTCATTCTTCTACTGCTGAGTTCTCTGATAGCATGTTTATTAAAAGCAATGCAACTGCTAAATATATCTATAAGATAACATTTAAGCAGGTCTCTAGTCCTGGAAGATGATTAATTGTTTCCATGGCAAATTTATAACAGACATTTCACCCCCAAAATATTACATTTAATGAAAATTAAAACCTCTTATAATAATGTATAAAGTGTCATAAAAGGAATAAACAACTTTCCAATTTTCTAATCAGTCTGCATGTTATCTTTATGATCCTATTCACTTGGAAAGATTAAAATTATTTTCTCCATTCCGTGGACTATTTCAAGGTGATTTAAGAACTTCCAGACACATGGTTTTGCAGGTCATTCTAGTTTGAATCAGCACCTCACAACAGGAAGTACTGTTTCTTTGAGATAACTTTCTGTTTTGCTTCCTGTTCGAGGGGCTCTGCCCACTGGCCAGTTTGAGCTGTGAGATGAGGTCACAGCCGCCGCCTTTTGCCAGCAAAGTCTTCATCCAAAGGGACTACAGCAGTGGCACCAAGTGACAGTTCCAGACCAAATTCCCCTCAGAGTTGGAAAATCGGGGCGAACCCTCCGTGGCTACTCTGCCCAGTGCCGAGCGGAAGGCCTTCGCCCTGAAAATCAACAAGTCAGATGGGCGGCGGGAGGACAGGCCCACCATGAGCAACGGGAAACGGAAGAAGAGGGAGTGTCCTCTTTCAACTACACAGTCCATATGCAACCCTACCAAACAACTTAAAATGGATGACTTTTTAAATGATATTCAGTCAACGGTCAAAAGTAATAAATTATCATCCTCACTTATTAGCCTTTCTAACAGATACGATCCACTGGAATGGGACTTACAAACTGAGGTAGAGAGCTCACAGCTTCTGGACATTTCTGCTTCTTTATCAGGGGAGTCTTCCCTCTTTCAAACATCAGCTGTCGGTGTTGCCACTGAGGGTTTGTTGCAACAAGAGTATGGGGAATTACAAAATAAAAACTTTTTTGATTTTATATCTAGGCAATGCATACTGACGGCACAGACAGTGCTGACTACTTTTGAGCTTTTAACTGAGGTCAACAATAAAGTGGACTCATTAAAAGAGTCAACTGTTAAGTTTGCTGATCCAAAGATGGACGCTAACTTGGGTTTCACTAAAAGTATAAAAAACTTGTCATGTGATCTACTCCCTCACCTAGAGGTGCATGCTAAGTAAGGTTCTCTCTCCCAAGAAGTCTCGGATAAAAAGCACACAAGTTTTAACTGTTATCTACAGAGGCATCAGATTACCTTACAAATTTTAAATAACCAAACGAATAAAGGGAAGTGGGGATTTAGAAATGCGGTTATTCTTTCCCTTAGCCAGCTTCTTCGCTGTGAAAGGCAGCTGGTGGATTTGCAGAGGGTGGAATGGCTTCCCACCAGAGGGGCTTTTAAACGTATTTTGTTGACTTTTAAACAACCCACTATAGCCAGTATGCTGTTTAAAATGAATTCCTTCCTCAGTGAATTTGGAATTTTTCCTAATCGCGTGTTTACTAAGGAGGGTATTAGTCCTTTAATAACTCATATTGGCAAGAAGAGCACTGCTTTCCACAATCCTAATTGCAACGATTTTAAAGCTGTTAACTCTAAGGGTGTTATCGCTCCCGCACCCTTGAGAAGTGGCAATTTGAAAAATCAACCTCCTATCCAGCAGCATACTGAGATACTGGAGTCAAGCCTGTTTAATTATTTTTGTACTTTGCCAGAGCTAGAACAAGCGGGCATCATTAAAAGATTAGATGACCTGAAGGATCTTTTAAAAGTCACACGTAAAGCTGCAAAACCTCCCATAGAATTTGCTATCCCGGTTGCAGATGTCATTAATGCTCTTGCTGAGAATTCTGATGAAATTCCTCTTCATATAGATACTGCAAATAATAACTCTGTAAAAGAGGTGTACAGGCGAGAAGAAAGGAGTGGTTGCTCAATTACTGTGGAACAACAAATAGAACAACAAATAGAAGATGACCTTGGAGTAGGTGTTGAACTGCGTCATAAGGAGGTTCCCACCTGCTCATTGCTACTCCCTTTGGTCTCGGACACTATCCCACTGGGCCAACCTACAATGATACCTTTGCAACAGGTTGTTAGCCCTCAGAAGCATTTGGACTACCAATTTGGCAGTAGTGAAGGCAAACACCTAACAAACCAGTGCGTCTTTTTTGATTCTGAGGGAATCTTGGATAATATTACTCCTGTGGAATGACTGGAAAATGTTAGTGTCCCTCCCAATGCTCACATTAATTCCCTCCCTATAATGACAAATGACAAGCAAGTAGATTATTTTCACCTATTGTCCTGGAATATTGCTGGCTGGAAAGCTAGAGCCATGGATGGTGACTTGGAGGATTTCCTGACAAACTTTGATCTTATAGCCCTTCAGGAGACCTGGCTGACCATGGACGAAGAACAGATCCATCTGCCTGGCTTTGATTCGTGGTCTATTCCTGCAGTTAAATCTCAGACTAAAGGAAGGACCTCTGGAGGCTTGTCAATTTTAGCCAAAGCAGAGTTGGGCTGGCAACTTTGAATTTCTTAAATATTAATAAAAGCAAATCCAAAGTGTTGGTTTTCAGCACAAAAAGTAGGAAATATAATTGGCAGATTAATGGGGAGTCAATCGAACAAGTAAATTCTTACACCTACTTAGGAGTGGTCTTTACTAATACAGGATCTTGGTCTAATCACTTTAAAAGTAGTACATTAAGAGCTGAGATAGGCACCAAAAGATTATATAAATTATTTAACCATAATTACCCAGGCACTTTGACCCCTATGTTGAAAGTATTTAGGGCAAAAATAGTTCCAATGCTGACATATGGTGCAGACCTGTGGGGTTTAAATAAAGCCTCCCCACTTGAACAAACACAGACCCGCTTTTTAAGACACTTATTGGGGACTGATAAGAACACTTCTGCTTCAGCAGTCAGAGTGGAATTGGGCATCCACTCCTTACATAGCCACTTAATAATTAAAACATTTACATACTGGCTAAAGATACAATCAATGGATGCGGATAGACTTCCCAAACTATGCCTAACTGAACAGTTAAATAAGTTCCAATTTAACTCCTGGGCCAGTCAACTCCACAGAGCCATCTTAAGACATGGATTTTCCACCCAATCTTTATTGACAAGGGTTTCCCAGGCAAGGGAAATTTTTAAACAGAGAGTCTTGGATATTAGTGCCCAGACTGACATGGAATTATTAGCAAAAACAGATCCTTAAGATGGTTGGCTAAGAATAAAAACACCTTCTAACCTGAAAAGTACCTTTCAATGGGTATGTCACAATTACAGACAAGAGCTTATACCAGAGCCAGATTTGAGTTACTGGATTCCATGTCCAGACATGGGCATATACACCATGTACCATACCATGAGAGAACCTGCTTATGTGGTTCATCTGCCACTGAAGATATTTCCCACATCTTGTTCAACTGCCAAATATATGCCCCCATTAGGCTTAAATATTTATCATTTCTACTGGAAAGAACAGCCCATTGGGAATCAAACCACAGATTGTTATATTTCCCCCAGGCCGTAGGACTGCTAAGTTTATAATCAAGTCCGTAGGACTGCTAAGTTTATAATCAAGGCAGCAGTCTTAAGAACCCAATATATTGAACAAATTGGTGCATCCTGCAAGGGTGATCTATTATCTAATTTTTGACTCCCTGGTTTTCCACATATGTTTTTATTACTGTATTCTTATATATCTAACTTATCTGTATTTTGTCTTGTTATATATTTATGTTATGCTACTGATAAGGTCTTATGACTATTCAATAAACCTCTTACTTTACTTTACTGCTTCCTGTTCTTGATGTAGCCATTCCTTGGATCAACATCTGGAAGACAGCAGTTTATGTTAAGTTGAATGGAAGGCACAACCAACGAACAAGAAAAACAAAAGGATGTGCATTCAGTGAATGTTAAGAAACTTTTTAATGAAACCAGGAAAAATGATCTAATAACTTTCAATATCTTTCAGTAAAATATCTCTTTAGAGCAAATATTAGATGATCTTTTAAATTAATGAAATATCAAATTTTATTTATAAACTATAACTATAAAATCATTGGACAAAAAACTTCTTCAATACTTTTTACAATATACATCAAATACCAGCTTACTGAAAAACAAAATGTACTGAAATATAAATGATGTATTTACACATAATTAATAACATGTTCATTTACATTGTCAGATAAAATCAGTGTACATATAAGTTTGTATTGATATCTAACCAACCACCAATGTCACTTCAGATTAAAAAATTCACATAAATTATTATTACAAATTACATTACATATTTTATGTTGAATGTTTTTATTTGAAGATGATGTACATTGATTAAATTAATGACAGAGGGATAAAGGTGATCTATATGACTCCATGTTATAATACAGTATTATTTCCAGCATTAAAATAAAGATTTTAATACTTAATATATAAGAAGAATATCTTTAAAAGAAACTTAATGCAAACAAAAGCTTTAAGTCAGTTCAGTCTATTTGTC